GTAAAGATACATTGGAGGAGCTGACCATCTTTACAGATCCGTAGGAGCATGGCTTTTTGTCCTATTTGGGTTGGAATTTTGTATTTTGTAAAGCCATCTGCAACCTTCACTTGCGTCCATTGGGCTTGCCAGGCCATTTGTGCTTTGATTTTGCATTTTCTCCAGTTTTCTGAAGGGAATAGGGTGTATCTCCGCTTTGTCCGGAACTAGCTTTGCCAGTCTGTCTGCTGTTTCATTCCCATGAATATCTATGGGAGACAGGGATAATTTACAGATTCAAATGTCTTATATTGGCCCCACTAAACACAGATTAATTACTTAAGTTTAAACTTGTTTTAACAATTGCTGAGAGTTACTCTGCTGAACCATTGTGCATGACGAACCCCTCTACTCATCGTTATTCGCCCACTTCACATAATTTACCAAGTAATTAGGTGCTCTATGCTAGACTGGGTTCATCAATCAGGTGATGTGGGTATGGAAGAACCCCCTCCTGAATTCTTAAGGGGTTACATGGGGGCCCAATAGTAGAACAAAACATGGGTGATAGTGATACTAGATTTATTCACACCATCATTTGTTAGATTTTACCTTTGTGTGAACAATGAGATGTTTCCTACTTCCTAATCATATGCATGAACTTCATTCACTCATATTTCCATGTATTTTTGTTCAGGTTAAATGTCTGTTCCCATTCACCAGCAGACAGGACACATGGTCTACTCATGCCTACAGTGTTATAGAAACATCTTATTGCATCAGTGACTGTCTCAGCTACTGGCTTCTACCTTGACATTAAGTGGTATAGCCCTCCATGTTATTGTGGACACAAACGAACATACTAAGCCCGTATTTTATTATTTTTTAAAAATTCTGTCACACTTTCAGACATTCAATAACAAATATGCAATATTTGCAACAACATTTCAAAGTTAACAAATGTTTTTTGGGATAACACTTTCTTAGTAAAGTACAGATTCTAGTACTTGTTTTGGTTGAGTCCCATGAAGGATTCAAACCCGCACTGCCAGAGTGAGGCCCCTAATCACAAGCTCACAAACTCAGGGATCTAACCCACTCAGCCACCGAGGCTTAGAAAGTGTGATCCCAAATATAACATTTGTTACATGAGACCACATTCTAAATATCATTGTATGTTCACAACATTTCAAATCGTTATGGTTCTTAGTATTAAGTTATGGTTACAAGTTAAAAATGAAGATATATATTATGTAATATTATATAAAATATGTCTCACTGTATTATCACTTTAATACCTATCTTTAAAGACCCACTGTGGTACACTTGCCCAGGCAGCCACCCTGTGCCATTACACGCATCCGCGTTCGCTTTTGTTTATTCCAACTTTTGGTTGAACCGGGCCTTCCGGGTTTTTCTGTCAATGTTATGGTTGCAGAATAAACTGCATTGAGTTGACACTGCAGTGCTGACTAATCCTTGGTTCTGTACATATTTCCAGTGTACACAAGTCAGTCGCTGGTTGTTGAGTCTGTATCTGAAGCCATGGAGGAGGACTTGCCTATAGCCTTTCTGCCACGTGAAGTATTTAACTTTCTTTGGATTTGTCATAGTTTAAAGATTCCATGATAAGCATTTTATAACTATACATTTCCTTTTCCATTTTGAGTAAAGAAAAAGAAATTCTTATTTCTCATGAAATATCTCAAACTTGACTCTAAATTGCCATCAAAATACTGGAGATGCAAGTGAAGAGAAGTGAAACTAAAACAACATGATCTGTACCTTTTGTTATCCCCTGGCATATGATGCGGCGGATATGGTTGACGCCTGTGGTCGACGCCTGGAGCGACCAGAACTGGGATAAACACTATAGAGAAATATATCTGTGGCATGCAACTATGTGTTTAACTGACAAACATTTAATAAGAGCAAAATCATCTGCACTTCGTGTGTTTTGTATTTTTACTCCGTTCTGCAAAGGGCAAATGGCAATGCTACTGACTCGATTTGCAGCTAAAAATGGCAGCGTATAAAAGTGGTAATGCGGAGCTAAAGCGGATTACAATTTCTTATTTTTATGCTTATCGCTTATGAAAAACTGCCATTTCTATAAAAATAGTCATGTTGCTTATTATCTGTAATTACTGCCCATTGCCAATGTTTACTTTCTAACCATGATATAACTCCCAAATGTATTATTTGATTGTCTATCATATCATAACCTTCGTGAGGTGGTGACATGTTTAATAACAGTCAATTTTCTGTTAAATAGCTATCTTGGCCACTTCTGAACACAGTATTTTCCTACAACAGAGCAAAAGCCAAATGAAAATAAAACTATTCTCTAATTTATGTAATTTAAAGATGTTATGCCACTCATTGGTGGGGATACAAGAGTAATAATTCAAGTTCCTAGGATGTTTGTGTTATTTTTCAAGAGTTATAAGAGTTGGACATATTTCTTCTCATACACAGTAACACAGGAGGAACATGCCTAGGAGTACACACTCATGACATTGTACAACAGGCGATGATGTGCACAATATATATGTGGGAGGGTATGTACATTAATATAATAATATTAATTATTTTGAATATAACTAAGTGTGTCATTAAACATCAAACAATGAATACTCAACATGTCAGAGTTAAAAGGGGTACAGTTAAATTTGTACTATTCAAGGGATTTCTAAGCCCCAATACCTCACAGCCCTCTGGCAACTGATGTGTGTATTTTTGTTTGTATTCTCAAGTCCCTAAGTCATTTTTTTTAAATATTACTATTACTATAATGTTAGATTTTAGTGGTAACAATTATTCAAAATCACTCCATTTGATAATTATGTACATGATGATAAAAGCAACTATTTTTTAATTAATGTTGGAGGTGCATGTAACTGCTACCAGGCATAGCAGATGCTTGTTGTGAGAGAGTTTGTGCTTCATCTTAGAAGTCTAACTTAAAAAATAAAAGAAACTAATTACATATAGAAATATTAGAGTAGAAATTGTTGAAAAAGATTTCTCTTGTTGAAAAAGATTTCTTTAATGTTCCTTTGATTCACCCACCACCCTATTCTTTTTCTCATTGTTTTAAAGGGAAAAATACCATATGTAATACCCGGTATGACAAAATCTCCTTCCTGGTCAGCGTTAAAATAACTGGGAAACTCATTGAACCATTCCTGGTAGCTTATTGACATATATACGTTGAAGCTTTCATAACCATTTTGCCAGCAAAATGTCCTCATATTTCTTAAGACAGATAACATATATTTAATAAACCCATTACTAATGGAGAACTGAACTTGTTATCTCAAGCTCTGTCATCATTGACATTAATATTTGCAAGACAAAGCAACAGTAAGAGTTATCCTCCCTTTACAACTTGATCAAAATGGTCGTCTGGTCCTTGCTGTTGAAGGCCAAGTGGCTGAAGTTTCTAAGATAATATTTCTTTGAAAGACGAGAATGTGTAGGTAAGTCATTATACCTTTCGTTTATACTTTTTTTTCAATGTCATGCATTGTGCAGTCAGTCCCTCCATGATGATCAGTTAGCCTATTACAGCTGTGAAGGGGACAAAGCTTTTTTTAAACTATGTAGTTTCATATGCAAAGCATATTGTCAAAGTACATGTTTCTCAAAGGTTGTAAATGTGAATGACAATGTTCAGAAAACAAAACTCTCAAGATTCCTTTCATTCTTGAAAGCATAACATTTATGCCACTTCTAGTTGAGGGGGATGTGAGTAATAATATAGTCAACAATCTCTTAACATTAGCAATATTGACCCATAGCATTCAGATTCTCCTCACAAGTTTGAAATGTTATTTACTATCATCAGCCAAAAAGAAATCTTAAGATTTCATTAATTGTAGATTTTAAAGGTGTTATCCCATTTCTGGTCAAGGTTATATGAATAATAATATAGTAAAAATAATCTTTTAAAATTAGAAATCTTGACTCATAGTGTTCAGGCTTTGCTCACAGGTTTGAAATGTGATTTACTGTCATCAGCCAAGAAGAAATCTTAAGATTTCATTAATTGTAGATTTTAAAGGCGTTATCCCATTTCTGGTCAAGGGCAGATGAGTAATAATATAGTAATTTTTTTTCTTAAAATTAGAAATATTGACTTATAGCACTCACATTCTGCTCACAAGTTAGAAATGTGATTTACCATCAGTAGCCAAAAGAAAATATTCAGATTACCTTAATTGTAGAGTTTAAAGGTGTTATCCAATTTCTGGTCAAGGCAAGATGAGTAGGAATATAGTATTAAATCTCTTAAAATTAGAAATATTGACCCATAGCACTCAAATTCTGCTCACAGGTTTGAAATGTGATTTACTGTCATCAGCCAAAAAGAAATCTTAAGATTTCATTAATTGTAAATTTTAAAGGTGTTATCCCATTTCTGGTCAAGGGCAGATGAGTAATAATATAGTATTTTTTTTTCTTAAAATTAGAAATATTGACTTATAGCACTCACATTCTGCTCACAAGTTAGAAATGTGATTTACCATCAGTAGCCAAAAGAAAATATTCAGATTACCTTAATTGTAGAGTTTAAAGGTGTTATCCAATTTCTGGTCAAGGCAAGATGAGTAGGAATATAGTATTAAATCTCTTAAAATTAGAAATATTGACCCATAGCACTCAAATTCTGCTCACAAGTTTGAAATGTGATTTACTGTCATCAGCCAAAAATAAATCTTAAGATTTCATTAATTGTAGATTTTAAAGGTGTTATCCCATTTCTGGTCAAGGGCAGATGAGTGATGATAAAGTCAAAAATCTCTTAAAATTAGAGGGGGCACGGGTGGCCGCGGTTCACTGTGCAGTGTTGTGTCCCTTTGATCCGCCAGCAACCTATGATTGTGGGTTCGAATCCTGGTTCGCCCGAATAATGCTTCTAGGTTTGTCAGCACCATCACTTCAGGTTTCCTCCCACATTAAGCTGACACACCCTGATATAACTGGAATAATGTTAAAAGCAGTGTTAAACCACGGACCTATATATATCTGTCTGATAAAATTCACAGTCTCACTCACAGAATCATCATACAAATGTTCAAGTGCATCCGCAACAGTTTTGCTCAATACCTGAGCTGCCAGATTCACCTTCATTTTAGCAAAAGGTGTGAGGTCAATATGCTCACGGGTTAATTTGTGAGCATGAGCATAAATTGATGGTTCCACATATTCTTCATACAGCCTAACAATGTGTGACCACCTGATGTCCTGTCCATCTTTCCACATGTCACGTGACTTGCTGTGGCTTCCAGAATTGGCAAAACAATTACGGGTGGTTTTGAGGAGGTGAGGGACATCTGAAATGAAGTAAAGCTTCCGTCTAGGATATGAGTAGGGGTTCCACGTCCAGTACGTGTTTTGAAGTTCCTCACAGTGATGCAGATTGAAGAATTTTCTATTAGGAGATGCACCGTCACATGTTACAAACAGAATTTTTAATCTACATTCAATTTCCAAAAATCGGACAGCCTTCCATATAGCAGGATACAAAAGATCAGCAGTTATCCCACTTGTGGCAAAACAGGCAACTGGGTATTTCAGGGAAGAAGTAATCCCTCTAACCATTATTACAAGAATGGAAGATGCTAGTTTCTTCTTAGTGTTCGCAATTAAATTCTCCATATGCAACAAGTCATTGCCAGTTTTCTCAAGTTCAACATACCCAACAAGTTCACCAGTTACTCTGTCGTAAACTAACCCCTCAGACACTTTCACCTCATCTTGAAGAATTCCAACATAACTCATCCATTCTTCCTGAAACATTCCCAGCTGGGCTGCTTCATTCCTGAGATGTGACACAGAGGCATAGTTAAAGCCACATTCAGCAGGTAACCAGTGTGAATAGTCAAACAGTGTTCGAGTGCTTGGTAGGGAGATAAATCCAGCATCTCTGGTGGCATCGTATGCTTTTTGGCTTTTGTTTCGGATATAAAGGCACCACTTAATGATCATTGGGTGCCATTTCATTTGCCTTCTGTCTGTCAAACTTACACATTTCAACTGCTGATCCCAGAAAAGCCTCTGTAGCGAGTTCTCATCGGGGAAGGCCTTTTCAACATCAACTGTATGTTTCTTCAGCAATCCCAAAAGTTCAACATTGTCAGTTTCATTAAGTTTCTGTCCTTTCACAGATATGCTCTTCCATATGCTGCGTCGAATCTTGTCAAGTTCAGTTTGCAGGTGCTGTGTTTTATCTTTCATCACCTTAATCTTAGATATCATCATGTCCTTTGACATATGTTTATGGGGTGTGGTTTTCTTCTCAGTAAATGATGATTCTTGCTGTTTTGAACGCGAAACTTTCTTTCGAAGTGTGTTTCTATACAAACAGCAATGGCTACACCTTTTTCTAACAGTCAACATGGAACACTTGGTTGATCGAATGGTAGAGTGGTACTCAATATCATCTCGCTTCGCACAGAAATCGGCTTCATGGTATGCAAGAACTTGGTTCGTCTTTGTGTGGGAAGTGCCCCATTTTGGCATTGTACTGGTGAACTCTTCCTCATGATTTCCTACACAAACATCCCAAAGTTGGAGTCTATCAAAGAACTTCTGAAGGTCCCCAAATGACATCACAATTTTGGGAAGACCCGTCCATATATCATGTTCTCTGTCAATCACAATCTTGTGTACAAGCAGAGAGGGAACTAATGATGATCTTATGTTCATACACAATTTGACTGTTGGAGACTCTCCATGATAATGTTGGACAAGCTGGATGTTATCATCAGTTATCCTTGAAATTGCGAAGTCGGACAATGCATCAGTATGGCTCTTGATGTCATTCTTCAAAAGTTGAAATAACTGAAACCTTCTATCCCTCCATAGTTTCCCGACAAACTTGTCTAAGTCCACATGTGATTCATAGCAGAAAACTTTATGTAAAATGACATAGAACCTATTAGCGGAACTGCAGTCTGAATCAACTTCTTCTGGTTCTTCAGTGGAGGAAGTGTTGTTGTGAGTGCCTGAGCCATGTCCAAGGTAGAAGGCATCCCAGGCTTCACTCCATTTAGCTCCAAACTCATCTTGTGAACTGGAACAAGATATTTAGAATAATATATCATCTCAATTGGATTGGCACATAAAATTAATAAAAATTATTTAAATGTGACAAAAAAGTTATATCAATTGGCTTTACTCTAGGCTATTACAAGCAGCCACATAAAAACATCGCCATAAAAGTGCAATACCCTGGAATGTGGCATGAAACCCCATTTCACCTCACATACTTTACAACTAATGTAAATGATTAAATTTAACAACAATCAATAAAATGTCCTTAAATCAACTTGATATATTTTGCAAAAGGCATGTAATATACCTAGAAAATAACAAACCTTTCCACAATTACTTGATCATCTGTTCTATGATGGTTCACTTGAGCATGGCTGTGGTCTCTGTCCAATGAAGTTGTCACCTTTCTTTTATAGTGCTTCTTTTTCTGGCCAATACCTGGCATTTTCTTTCGGCGTGGCATCTGTTAATGGAATATAATGCACCTGTTTTATCATTCTTCATTAATTACAACAAGAATTACTCATGTGGACATGTAGCAATATTTATTGACAGTTGAAACCTATAATTATAATATAAAAACATACAGATCCTATTATTGCAGAAAAAGTCTTGGATATAATTATTTTACCAGTTAGTGAATTACACTTCAGAAATTAGGAACATGAAATATGGGTTGAAAATAGAATATGCTATGAATCATTATTTTTCTCCAACACCTACCCATGTGAAACATTATTTGAGATGAAATGTATGTTTCAAGTGGGAATTTATAGTAGATTTCCTTATATTTTAAGCTAAATTATAGCTATATTTGTAACATTAATTACAGAGTATTTAACGAATGTTTCGTAATTACAAAACCGCATAGTTGCTTATTGGTATATAAGGTATTAGTTTGTAATTTTTTTGGGAAAAAATATCTATCAGAATAAAAGTTTTAGCACGCCCAAATTGTGCGTGTGTGTAAAAATTTCCGAGTTTTGTTGCATAAACATCGATTTTCATGGACTCGTAATTCGTTGTGAAATAACATTATCAAAGATGTTCTTACACATAACTGCTGTACAGATAGCATATGTTCAGCACACCCTTGTAACTAAGGACTTTATTGGATGATAACGAAGGAGATAGCGAAATAAAACAGCCAAATATCACGATTTCACTTGTCTGCCATCTTGGATGCAAGACGAAAACAATGGACCGGTGTGCACATTTCTAAAGACAGTTGAAACAAAAATGATTACTTTCAGAAGTCTTATTTCGTCCCTAATACCATTACACAATATATAAACAAAATATCCACTTACCTTTCAAGTCTGTATATAAGCGAAAAACACTGGAAATTAGGATGTTTTGAAGCGATACGCGGACAAAAGTTGAAGAGCTGGTCAGTGAATCTACCCATGAGCCTCTGCGATGACCCCCCGCAGAGGTGGAAAAACAATCGCCGGTAGCGCGGCGTAGATGACCTGAGGCTATCTGTTGCGTTTCCTATCCAGGTTATACAAGTCCGTGGTTAAACCCAACTCACTTAAAAATTAGAAATATTGACCCATTGCATTCAGATTCTGCTCACAAGCTAGAAATGTGCTTTGCTATCAGCAGCCAAGAGAAAATCTTAAGATTCAATTATTTGTCGAGTTTATAGACTTTATCCCATTTCTGGTTGAGTGGATATGAGTAATAATATAGTAGAAAATTTCTTAAAAATAGAAATATTGCCCCCTAGCATTCAGATCCTGCTCACAAGTTTCAAATGTTATTTACTATCAGTAGTCATGAAGAAATCTTAAGATTCCATTAATTGTAGAGTTTAAAGGCGTTATCCCATTTCTGGTCTAGGGGATATGAGTTATAAAATAGTAAAAAATCTCTTAAAATTAGAAATCTTGACTCAAAGTATTCAGGCTTTGCTCACGGGCTAGAAATGCTATTTACTATCATCAGCCAAGAAGAAATCTTAAGATTCCATTAAGTGTAGATTTTATAGGTGTTATCCCATTTCTGGTCAAGGTGATAAGAGTATTAATATAGTAGAAAATCTCTTAAAATTAGAAATCTTGACTCAAAGTATTCAGGCTTTGCTCAGGGGCTAGAAATGTAATTTACTATCAACAACCAAGAATAAATCTTAAGATTCCATTATTTGTCGAGTTTATAGACTTTATCCCATTTCTGGTTGAGTGGATATGAGTAATAATATAGTAGAAAATTTCTTAAAAATAGAAATATTGCCCCCTAGCATTCAGATCCTGCTCACAAGTTTCAAATGTTATTTACTATCCGCAGCCGAAAGAAAATCTTAAGATTCCGTTAACTGTAGATTTTATAGGTGTTATCCCATTTCTGGTCTAGGGGATATGAGTAATGAAATAGCAAAAAATCTCTTAAAATTAGAAATATTGACCCATAGCACTCAGGTTCTGCTCACAAGTTTGAAATATGATTTACTGTCATCAGCCAAGAAGAAATCTTAACATTCCATTAAGTGTAGATTGTATGATGATATTATGTATAAAATGTCATAGGTTGATTATGACCTGTGAACATCTGTATAGATTGATGTATTACCACCTTCCATGGAAGTGTGTATTTGTCTATTTCTAGACTTGCTAAAGCCAAACTGGGGAAAGTGGAAATTGATAGTTTATACAGAAGGGTTCATTGGTCTGTTTGCGGGCTCAAACAACTGAATACAGGCGAGCTACCGCTAGCACTGACCTGACACACTAGCCATAAACATGTCACAAGATGATTCCCTAATTACTACTGACTAGTTGTCTGTTCAGATCTCTTACTGCTCAGGAGATTGTTGATACTTGAATTCCAAGGAGGAACTGGCTCTATGTGGGGGGTTAAAACCTCAGTGTCAATTTAAGCAAGGTGATTAGCTCATATTGTTAATGTTGTAGCAGAAAAAAATAATTTTACTTTACTGGAATTATTTGAATTCCCTATGGGAATGAACACAAAAGAAGATTTAATAATATTTTGTGAAATAATTTGTAAATCTGTGAAATTTAGATATGATTGTATATGGCAAAGTTATGTTTTAACTTTTTTAATGTCCGCTTGACTGGAGCGTATGTCCAAAGTTACAGATAACCTATGAGTATCACTAACACTGACCTTTCTCATTGATAATGTTGTAGCAAGCCTATGATGCAGCTTACAAAACAAAAACATATTCAAGTACGGTAGTTGCAAGAAGCAGTATTTGACAAATTGTTATAACGAGCAACACTGTTTTGTACTGTGTGCTCAATCACAACAACTGCGCAAAATTCTGTTATAGTCTGGCTGTAGAAAGAATATTCATATCATTATTTTCAAGAAGTTACATGCATACAGTCTTTAAGCTGATATCTTCAAAACTTATATACTAAGCGACAATGAGAATAACTGCCTTTCAGAATAAGGCATGTTTTCTTTTTGTCCCACATTTTATTGCAGGATTCAAATTAGCTTACCATATTGCTGACATACAGTCATGACTACTTGGTGCAGACAGAACTAAATGACAACACAATAATAATAATAATATTATCTTGAAGAACCATACTGTTACGCCTTCATCGTTTACGAACTAACCATTTACATTTTCTCTATGCTGATGGATATGATTATGATGCGAAGGTCATTGGCCAAGAAAAGAATTTCAACAACAGATCATCAGATACAGGCATATGGAAAGCTGTAGATATGGAGACCCGTTACATGTGATCCAACCAAAACACAACACATTATAACCTCAGGACACCTTCTTTAAAGTAAGGGTATACTTTGACTAGTAGCTCAGATTCCCAAAAGTTTTTAGGGGTTCCAGAAGCACATATAGCCCAGTCTAGACAAACACCTTGTCACTGGAATGAACATATTTTACAGATCAAAACAGTTGTTATATTATAGTTATAAAAATATAATAAAAAGGACAGACTCTTTTGGATATAATTGTTTCACGGTCTGTAAGCGAAAGCATGCAATTAGCTGTGCAGAGTCGTTTCCCTTATACTTGCCAGAATACTATGATTGTGGGTTCAAGTCACAGAATTGTCCAGGTTAAGTTTCTTGGTTTAGCAGCAGAATACTTGTCTTCTTGAGTTTCATCAAAGTGGTAAACGTCTTCGACTTGCATCAGGGGGCACGGGTGGTCCAGTCGTCTTAGGCACTGCAATTTGCTGTGCAGAGTTGCGTCCCTTGGGCACGCCAGAAACCTATGATTGTAGGTTCGAATCCCGGTTCGCCCCGATTATGTTTCTAGGTTTGTCAGCACCGTACCCGTGCTCGTGGGTTTCACTGAAGTGGTAAACGTCTGAGACCTGCATCACTTCAGGCTTTCCTCCCACATTAAGCTGACATGGCATGATATGCCTGAAATATTGTTCCAAGTAATGTGTCACTAAACGAAGCAGATTATAATTGTATCTTGTTTGACACCGCACTTGTCAATATCAGCTGCATGATTGTGGTCTGTGAATAATCGATCAAACAATCCAGGGATTCATTCATGCGACATATGGTTATGATACAGATAAGTAAGATATATGGAAACAGGTGAGCAACAAGTGTAACATATGTCTCACCACCTTTTTTAAAATACCATCCCAGCCATAAAGCTTCAATATTATCATATATATCATTCTGTCAAGAAGTGGCATAACCTTTTTAAAATGTATCAACTGTTGAATTTGCTTTTGTTTGGGGACAGTCAGTTCTATATTACAATCTTGCGTTCAAGGCAAAAGGACAAGAGTTTTTATTTCAGAAGAATTTGACTTCCAGTATATTATTTGCTCACCAAAGGGTCCATGTAAGATGATGGTAGCAATTTTGTATTCTATCCATCCCTCTGTTGTGTGTCCTTTAACCTTAACTTCTGGGAACCAGCAACCTGAAACTCTAGAAGGATGCCAAGCACCATGATAGTGTTGAAAATAGTTAAGGCTCTTTTCACAGGTAGCATATCAGGTCAAATGGAATAAATGTTGATATGATGGGTAGCAACAAAGTGATACATTTAAGTACCTACAAATGTTCTCTGAAAGCATAGGTCTTGGATGTGACTTTATACTGTTTTTCTAAAAATATAAACAGGAAGGTGGTAGGCTGGTATTCCTTGATAAGATATTTGTAAGGCAAACCAGGAGCATGCATTTGTGCACTAGGACAGCCAGGCAGTTCATTCACAGTATAGCTATTCCCCTGACAACTACTCCCAGTATGACTACACATCCAGGACAGCCAGGCAGTTCATTCACAGTATAGCTATTCCCCTGACAACTACTCCCAGTATGACTACACATGATTATGGACACCCATTAATTATAGTAATGCTACAATGGAATGAGCTGAGATAGCATTATGGTATATATGAAATAAGAAATTTCACAATAAGTAGTTTGACTCCTATTTGAATTTCCTCCTGTATCTGTCGTGATTGTGATTGGGATTGGCTTAAAAATTGTTTTTACTGGTTTCAGGATTAGAACTGATAGAGAAAACCGGTAATGGGCCGGAAACGCCACATTTGACGGCAGATAGCCCTGCAAATGCTATCACTGGATTGTCTGGTCCAGACTCGATTATCTACAGACCGCCATCATATAGCTGGGATATTGCTGAATGCGGCTATAACAACAAACAAACAAACCAACCATCACACTCCACAACACCACACACCATCACACTTCACACACGACACCACACATAATGGCCTTGCACTATATACTGCAGACAACACAACAGACAACTCTACATAACAAACCGCACACAACACACAAATACCTTACACTAAACACAACACACAACACACACAATAAACCATTAGACGATAAAATGACCTATCCCCTTAATGACATTGCTTGAAGCTAATAATAACAACAAAGGCGGTTTTTTTTAACCATTTTAATATCATTTTGATTAAAAGCACTGAAGTTCAACATGCTTAGTTCAACGGTTTCTTTTCAAAGGCCTGGTTGGTGTGGCCAGGTGAGGAGACAGGTACACGCCCACTGGAAGCTGACTGTCGCGTGATCAGGCCAAGGCAGATCATGCAGTTCAATATGCACAGCGCGATTCTGAAAACATACAAGTAATGACATAAAAATGCCTAGAGATATGATCCTGATGCAAAATATACACACAAGACTTAGTATTTGTTTTAGTGATGGCCAAGACTGTTGTGTCATGGTTTTACTCACATGACACAGAACAGAAGTGATCATGTCCGTTTCACTCACATTATACAGAACAGAGGTGATCATGTGGGTTTCACTCACATAATACAGAACAGAGGTGATCATGTGGGTTTCACTCACATAATACAGAACAGAGGTGATCATGTGGGTTTTACTCACATGACACAGAACAGAAGTGATCATGTCCGTGTCACTCACATAATACAGAACAGAGGTGATCATGTGGGTTTCACTCACAGAATACAGAACAGAGGTGATCATGTGGGTTTCACTCACAGAATACAGAACAGAGGTGATCATGTTGGTTTCACTCACAGAATACAGAACAGCAGAATGGTGATGGACATGAGGTTGTAAGGCCTAGGTGAAGGTCGTGGTCCTGAAGTGGGCGTGGCAGGATAGATGACGTTACGATGGACCAGCTAGATATATGACGTTACGATGGACCAGCTAGATAGATGACGTCACGATGGACCAGCTAGATAGATAACGTCACGATGGATCAGCTAGATAGATAATGTCACAATGGACCAGCTAGGTAGATAATGTCAGGATGGACCAGCTAGAGAGGTGACGTCATGATGGACCAGCTAGATAGATGACGTCACGATGGACCAGCTAGGTAGATAATGTCACCATGGACCAGCTAGGTAGATAATGTCACGATGGACCAGCTAGGTAGATAATGTCACGATGGACCAGCTAGATAGATGACGTCACGATGGACCAGCTAGGTAGATAATGTCACGATGGACCAGCTAGATAGATAACGTCACGATGGACCAGCTAGAGAGGTGACGTCACGATGGACCAGCTAGATAGATAATGTCACGATGGACCAGCTAGATAGATAATGTCACGATGGACCAGCTAGAGAGATGACGTCACCATGGACCAGCTAGGTAGATAATGTCACGATGGACCAGCTAGATAGATAATGTCACGATGGACCAGCTAGGTAGATAATGTCACCATGGACCAGCTAGGTAGATAATGTCACCATGGACCAGCTAGATAGATGATGTCAAGATGGACCAGCTAGATGGATAACGTCACGATGGACCAGCTAGAAAGGTGACGTTACGAGGGGGCCAGCTAGATAGATAACCTCACGATCAACCAGCTAGAGAGGTGACGTTAAGATGGACCAGCTAGATAGATGACGTTAAGAGGGGGGCAGCTAGATAGATACCGTCACGATGGACCAGCTAGATAGATAGCGTCACGATGGACCAGCTAGAGAGGTGACATCACGATGGACCAGCTAGATAGATAGCGTCACGATGGACCAGCTAGAGAGGTGACGTCACGATGGACCAGCTAGGTAGATAATGTCACGATGGACCAGCTAAATAGATAACGTCACGATGGACCAGCTAGATAGATGACGTCACAATGGACCAGCTAGAGAGGTGACGTTACGAGGGGGCCAGCTAGATAGATAACGTCACGATGGACCAGCTAGATAGATAACGTCACGATGGACCAGCTAGAGAGGTGACGTTACGATGGACCAGCTAGAGAGATGACGTCACGATGGACCAGCTAGAGAGATGACGTCACGATGGACCAGCTAGGTAGATAACATCACGATGGACAAGCAAGGTAGATGACGTCACGATGGCCCAGCTAGATAGATGATGTCACGATGGACCAGCTAGAGAGGTGACGTTACAATGGACCAGCTAGATAGATGACGTCACGATGGACCAGCTAGAGAGGTGACGTTACGAGGGGGCCAGCTAGATAGATAACGTCACGATGGACCAGCTAGATAGATAACGTCACGATGGATCAGTTAGATAGATGACTTCATGGCCGTTCGCGTATAGATGACGTCACGACTTACATATATGGTTATCGGTTCCTCTCTGTCACACTCCAACTCCCCGGGCTCGTCAGGGCTGCAAATCAGATGTATGTACGTCTGCCTGGGGGTGGAAAGAGGAATTATATTGTCACTGGTCACGTGTACATCGCTGTTCAAACAAAGCAGTGATGAAGTAGAAATAACGCTGTCTTTTGTAATATTCCACCCAACGACATGGGAATATCACACGTGCATTCACACATTATACCCGTCCCGGGAAGCGAATGCGAATTTTCGGCATGACGGGCAGCTTTAACCAATAGGCCACCCTCACGCCCCTTCTTCCTGGGGTGAATAATCGCCTCCGAATCTTTTGAGTTTTGTGTCGAAAGATTCTCGTCTAGGAACAGCAACAAATATAATTTAAATTTGAACAGGGGTGAGTTTTAATTCTTTGATGTGATAACAAAAGCAAATTCCAATATTCTCCTTAGGTGATGTTGTTGCTGATGCCGACGACGATTTTAATTTCATTAACCTCCTTGTTATTGTTATTATCATCTTAACCATTAGTATTAATGTCACCACCAATGGACATCCATGTTCTTCGATAAAAACATATAGCAAATAAATGTACTTTTCCAGTCGTAACCATGAATATATTATTATATCTCTGAGGATTATGATTATTTATACTGTTTGATAGCAACCACATAAAAACATAAAAATCAGTTTCGATGAAGTGTGATATAATTCCTCTAACGTGACCCACACATCCATCATCTATCCACTCACACACACATACCGAGTGGAGTGATCTCGGGGGTCGGTCCCCACGTAAAACAGGACGTTCTGCCCCGTATTGATGTCATGCTGCAGGACACCGTCTTGTTGTGCCATTAATACGTAGAAGTCAATAGACACGATGTATTGACAGACCTGAAACACAGAACATCGTGACACATCTACACAACATGGATATCCCACCCGACACTTTATACTGCATCCGCACCGCCCGTGTTGTGATACCAAATATAGCTACAAAGAAAGTAAATGTGTTTTTCGTAATTCTAACAACCAGTGTTGATATATTTGATATCCAAAGACAGTGGGGTAAGATTTTTTTTTCCAATTTGATTCTGAAGGATGAAGAATTTTGACAATCAATTTTGATATTTTGGTAACCATTTTTGTTTTAGACACCCCCGTAATGGTTAATGTGCATCACGACTGAAACTTTCAGGGCATAACTATCTCATGAATAGGTGCACTGTCTTTTAGAATCAGAATATTGTCTTTAAGTGTGATCATTATTTTAAAACGCAAAGCTAGAGTTCCCACTTGTTCAGAAATACCGCCAGTCTAAATGGGTTTCCCTTATGACTCAGGTTAGATTTAAATATTTAATCTCAAACGAGTTAGTGAGTGAGTGTGGATTTACGCCGCTTTTAGCAATATCACGGAGGGGGCACCAGAAGTGGGCTTCACCCATGTCGGGAATCGAACCCGGGTCCTCGGTGTGACAAGCGAGCGCTTTAACCACTAGGCTACCCGACCACCCCTAATCTTAAACGAAGGCGCATGACATTTGACCAATGGGCGATAAGGAAACTATTATCGCCGGGGAAATATCGCTGGATCTCACATAAGTAATATTTCCTGTATTGACAGTTTGGGGTATTCACACTATAGGCACAGGTCGGAGCGTGTTCCATGGGCAGACATGCCCAGTACGACTGCGATCCTTGAGCTGTCAGAACAATTACCAGTGCTCGTGGGTTTCACCCAAAATCTATGACGTCACGTTGGCAGTCTCGCCATCAGTATATATATACCTACCTGGCTGTTTCGTTGTCACTACCCAGCGGAGACAGGTCAATAACCCCATCACTTGTCGTGTAAACACACGGTTCTTCAGTTAACGGTTTACAGCTCAAAACGTCTGTTGTGCCCTTAAACCTACAATGGTCTAAGTCTACAATATTCATGAGTGGGTGTGGCTTGTGTATGCACGTGACACTATCTTCCTCAAAGCTGTTGATGTCTAACGAACGCATCGCTGTCTCGGCTGTCATTGCGCGATACGATGTTTCCCTCACAATCTGTACATCAGGTATATAACATGTAGTTTATGTGTCTTTGGATATTGTGCTGGACTATATTTGCGAGCCTCGACTTCGGACAGATCGAAAGTTCCGAGAATTACAGAGTCAACCCAACTCGCCTCACTCCGAAACATTCGGTGGTGTACATTAGCCCTGATCGAAACATTGACATGTCTTTGCTATTACTCGCAGATCCAACACATTAAAAACCTCTTGTCATCATGCTCCATACTTATGCAATATACCTTTCTCTACTTGTTATATTCAAGAGCAAAGCAATCTCTGCGTGTGGCAAAAGTTGGTCAACTACAAGATGCAACTATATATTTTTTATTTCCGAAACCCTGAAAGGATTCCAGGGAGTAGATTCACATGGTGTCCCAGAAAAAGAGTTATCATGCTTGTGATATAAATATGGCTCAGGCAATTAGGACTTGCCAAATCATTCTAGACTTGAGTTGGCTCCCTTTCTCCATTTATTCTAATGTGTCTGAGGGACAGAGGTTCAATCTTCTTTCTGGATAAAAATAACCATATGAACAGATTCTGAACAGAAAATAAAGTAAAAAGTATGAAATTCAATTCCATGTATTAAAGTGACACAACTTTAATCTCCAAACAAAAAATATATGATATGATGCCCTATTTGTATAAAATCTGTTTGGAATTTATTTTTCAAATTCAATATACATCTATGAAAAAACATTTGGCAAATAATAAAATTAGATAAAATACTTGATTAGTGATGATATTTTCCATTATTCCAGATAATACAAGATGAGCATCTAATTGGATCTAATTAGATATGAGTACATGCAGTGTAATGTTACTCAGATGGAAGATCTGTCCAAAAGTATGAACAACATGAAATTAAAAAAACCCAGGTAAAATAGATATAACCGCATTGATCATGATCTGACGTTTTCATCAGAAATAAAAACAGATTTGTTGGTATTTATCATTGCAGAAGTCTTTACTGGAACTTTCTAAGTCTCAAGTAACTTGAAATGCTTTGACATAAGTTTAGTCCCAGTCAAGACTACTATTTTTGTAAAGGTGCAATTTTTTCATCTAAATTGTTATTATGACATTCACTCTCTCTCCCATTTCAGCAAAAAATGGTGGCTTCCTTGGCGTATCAACGGAAACCCTTGAAGCTAAAGAAGGTCTAAAGTCTACAATGATGGGGTGGCCCCTTAGTGGACCCACCATGACCCAGTCATGGGCTGTTGAAAAAAGGCCCCTCCTGATCCCTTTGACCATGCAAAACCCCATCTAGGCTGAAAAATTTCATTCACTCTCTCTCCCATTTCAGAAAAAATGGGCAGCTTCCTCGGCGCGTCAAGGCGACAGCCAGTGTACACCTCAGAGGTTCTTCCAGCTTGCCAGGTGAGCTTCAAACAGCCCAAGGCACCCTAGGAAACTGGTCAAAAATCAAATCCACCTTCTTTTTTTAAAGAGCTTGTGTAGACTTAAGACTTTCAGCAGGTTTAAGGGCAGCTATAGGAGCCCTTAAACCTGCTGAAAGTCTTAAGTCTACAATGATGGGGTGGCCCCTTCCTGGACCCCCCAGGCAGTCATGGGCTGTTGCAAAGGCCCCTCCTGATCCCTTTGACCATGCAAAACCCCATCTAGACTGAACAATTTCATTCACTCTCTCCCATTTCAGAAAAAATGGGCGAGAGAAAAAAAATGGGCAGCATCAAGCCGGACAGTCATTGTACATGTCTATGTTTAGTTCTCCATGTGATGTGACCGCCTCCGAGGTCTAGTGGTAGAGCGTCCGCCCGGAGAGCGGAAGGTCCGGGGTTCGATCCCCGGCCGCGTCATACCAAAAGACGTTAAAAGATGGTACTTGTTGTTACCCTGTCTGGCGCTCGGCATTATGAGGCTAAAACAAGGACTGGTCGGCTCGGAGTCAGTATACTGTGTCTGAGTGGGATATTCATGTTAAACTGCGGCATGGTGTCTCAGTGAGCTAGCACTATACATCGGCATCAGTCCGGACTAGTACAAGCAGCCACACAAACACATACACGTGCATGCACGTCGCTATATAAGTGCAATAATCTTGGACGGGACGTTAAACCCAATTTCACCTCACCTTCATCTCCATGTGATGTGATTAAATCGAAAGGAAATTAATATTAAAACTAAAAGTTTTAATGTTAGTTATTTCTGTGTTTGATTATGGATTTACTGCAGACTGAATGGATATTAAACGCAAATTTTGTCCTTGTGCCTTATAATGGTTCAGGTTAAACTATACTTTATTAAACTATATATGAGGATAGAGCAACCTTTATACATGTATCTGAAAGACATGCTCCATTTGCTTTATCTGTGTGGTTGAACCTTGGCTCTATTAATATCAAAGTTGGCAGTGTAGCAGAGGCTGACATCAACCACATATTAGAATGGATCCCCTACTCTTTTACAATCCCTCCACTTGTGTATGATGTTTCTTTGTCCCAATTTCTCCGACAGATTGATTTTTTATTAATTGTGCATGTACATCTTTTATGCATGTAGTCTGGTGAAAATTTTTGCAGAGTATTACACCCAGAGTGAGCCACCTTATCGCAAGCACAGAGTCAGCGATCTAACCCACTGAGTCTTCCACAAAATGAAAGTCCAACAACTGGTAGTCTGATTTCGTACTTCATGTACACCCCCCACCCTATCATAACCTGTATTTGTCAGTGGAGGTATTATTAGATCTTACCCTGATTGTAGGAAGAAAAGTTACAGAAATAAAGTTACATGACCAGCATAGCCTGCTTGATACCCAACCTGGAGTACCTGTTTCCTGTGCTATTATGTTCTGTCAGTATTGGGTGAAACACATTGTGTAGTAGTATGCTAAGTGTCTGCACCAAGAATTACTTCCTAGTAGAGAACTTAATTGTGAGGCAGTTAACATTAAGCATAACATTACATGCTAATTACTCACTCAGAACTAGAAATTATGAAATAACTTTTTCATGTTAATTATTGTGGAAAGTATCTTTTTATCTTTACATGAATATATTATGCCTTATTTCGTGTGGTTTCTCTAAATTCTTATATTCAAAACTACAGGGTAAATGTAGAAATAGAAATAAACTTTAAATTTGAAAAATAAATAAATGCCATTATAAATGCATTTGTGAATATGACACATGAAAAAGTTACTTCCTTTTCACTATTTACCAATTTTGTCAAATCCTGACAGACTTGGTTCAAATATATTTAGATTTAAAAATGTAATTAAAAACACGACTTTATATCTTGCATGCCATTGCAGAATATTGTAGAATATCCTAAGGACTGGTAATTTATATATTTATTGGGGGGTGATCATGAAGAAATTACACAGCAAATAAAGGATGGGGTTGGGGAGGGGCGTTTTAATGACAACATGTAGGGGGTCACCAAAATTTATCACAAGTATATTTGGGGGAGTGGGTACGTACAACATAAATGACATGGTTCTGTATTATTTTGAACATGGGTACGTACAACATAAATGACATGGTTCTGTGTTATATTGAATAAAAAGGTTAAATATTTCATTTGTTATATGTTATAAATGTCAATAAAAATGCAATCTGTATATATTAGGGACATAATAAATGCACATAAAATGTGTGTGTCTGTGGTTGGGGGGGGGAGGGAGGGGGGGGGGAGGGTCTCATCTAAATATGGTCCTAACCAGGTTGATAATTAAGGTCCTCTACCTCCTTCTCACACAGATACCTGTATATTTCCACCCCTTTATGTTTGTATGGTGCTCTCACATGGGGGCAATGTGTTCTTTCATTCAATACACAGCATGCTTTTGATCTCATTAATACAGAGAGCTGGCAGATTGTAAAAACCAATATTCATAAGACTTGTATACTTCATACTGATATGTCCACACTGAAGAGAGGTACTGCCAGAGACTATTGGCAGGATGGGGACCCCAGCAACTGTTAAATGGCGATCACATTACAAATGTTCTCCCTGGGTCTGGGCAAAAAACACAAAGCACACATATTCAACAATTGTCAACAATTTAGGAAAACTAGTTTCATGTAGTATCATTTGTTTGCAGATGAGATTCCTGAATATCTGTCAGAATGTCAGATGATTTGAGGAAACAGACAGAGTCCAGTACATCCCAACCAATGGCAAGAGTAAGTACCAACACTATGAATTCATACAATGATATGTATATGTTACTTTTTTTAACTCTTTGTTTAGATCAAAGTTAATTTGATTAGGTACTTATGTTTACAAGTTCTACTTACATTAGATATCTAATGTTTTGGTCATTATTGTAAGATAGGATTTGTAGGTCCAGAATAAAATATATTCCTTTCCATTTTGTAAGGCCTTGTAATGATTACTGTCAGTACATCATTTACTTCAGTTCCCACCGGTTTGTTTGTTCAATATTATTAGAACTGACATGCAATGTAACTAAAACAAGTAATGCAAAGTGCATGGTGGAACCAGGCCTTTATTTCTTAGTCTGAAGAAAAGTGATAACTTAATTGTTTCATGTAACTAAACTAGTGTCCAAAAGAAACGATACCAACTTATTTTCAAAATTGTTTTTTACTAAGTGAATTGTCAAGTATGAAAACATGCCAATTCGTATTGCACATCCCAAACACAGCATAGTCGATAAAAAATACCGGGAACACATGATCACTTCCGGGAAAAAACGTAAATTTCGTGAAAGTGACATTTCCCTCTCTAGCATGTTCTGCACGTGCAGAAAAACTGTATAAAACGGCTGATCAGACACGTTGATATCACAGCAACAAAAAGAACACAAGATATGCCATGTTTGAAAGCCATCGAGAGAGAGAGAGAGCCGTTGGAATGGTCCAACAAGGAGCGTCACACGTTGACGTCGCCAGAAGGTTGGGCTGCGCACGCATCACTATCACCAGGTTGATGCAGCGGTTACGTCAGACAGGTCAGACGTCAGACAGGCCCAGGAGTGGAAGACCACGAGTAACCACGCCCCGTGAAGATCGTTACATCCGGGTAATACACCTGAGGAACCGCACCGTAACAGCGACGTCCACGGCGGCTACAGCACTTGGACACAGGATCAGTCGACAGACCGTCTACAGGAGACTACGGCAGTATGGTATCCGGCCACGTCATCCCTACCGCGGACCGCTCCTGACGCCTCGACACGGGAACAACAGACTGATCTGGGCCAGGCGAGTTCGACGTTGGCAACGGCGGGACTGGGCACGTGTTATGTTCTCTGGTGAGAGCAGATTCCTCATCTTCAGAAACGATGGACGGCAGCTTGTATACCGACGATTTGGTGAACGTTTGGCGCCTAACTGTATCCAACAGGTCCGGCCGTTTGGAGGTGGAGGGTTAATGGTTTGGGGTGGCATATGTGGTGACGTCAAAACGATGCTTGTCGTAATTCGTGGAAACCTGAATGCACAGCGTTATCTTGATGACATCCTACGGCCTGTTGTGGTGCCCTTTATTCAGCAACAGCCTCGTGGACTCCTTTTCCAACATGACAATGCAAGGCCACACACAGCAAGATTGACACAGAACTTCCTTGCCAACGCCAACGTACAGGTTTTGCCATGGCCCGCATGTTCACCGGACATGAATCCCATCGAGCACTTATGGGACCACCTCGATCGGCAAATCCGACGTCGCCATGTGCCTCCAGTCAACGTCCAGGACTTGGAACGATGTCTCCTCGAGAAATGGCAACGCATCACTCCCAACGTCATCAGACGTTTGACGTCATCAGTCCGTAGGCGTGTTCTGGCATGTATTGATGCTCACGGTGGACATACCCGCTACTGACTTGACTTTGAGACGTGTGGTGTGACATTTCCCGTTGTTTCTGTGATCAGTGCTCTAACGAAATGTTCATTTTTCGACCCCACCCATCTTTAAAGGCTTGTCATATTGGTTGTACAGATTTTATTGAAATGACATTTTTGTACAGATGTTGTGAAAGGATTTCATAAAAGCATAACACCAATCCTAAACTTCTGCATTGTTTGGTTTTTCTTTTATGTCGTTGCAAACAGGTGGTATCGTTTCTTTTGGACACTAGTTTACTTCGTACACAGCAATATTTAAAATTCGGCAATAGCTGAACTATTGTGTCATGATGACATCTTGATATGTTTGTTAAGAATGGTATACCGGTAATTAGTTTGTTCAATAATCATTAGAACAGAACAGGTACTCATACATCTCATGTTCATCTATTTTTCTGAAGTAATATTGCTTACCCTTTGTCTGATGTGGTGATAACTTCATGGTGTGACATTCTGTCCATTATACCATACTGTGAGTATGTATACCCAAATAAAGACACAAACTAAAGAGGAATCTTAGAAGATAATCATTAGCTCACCCTGGGGTTAGGCTGTGTGTCTGCTACTGATCTATATAACACATTCTGCATGTAATTAGCTACAAACCACATGGACATTTCCCCACACAGACAGTTCCCAACACTGACATTTCCATACTCAGACATTTCCCTACTCAGACATTTCCCTACTCAGACATTTCCCTACACAGACAATCTGTTCTTGTATATTGAGGGTCCTTCTACTTCTACAACATATGCTAAATAACTTGTTAATTTTTATGATTTTCCCATTACCATGAGCCTATGATGTGTACTTTTTATAGTGAGCATGACATTCCATTACAGTTCTGTATATCGTAATCTAGTGTTTTAAGTATGAATACTTGACACTAAAATAGGGGCCATTTCTGCAAGTAGTAAACATTTTGAAAAGTTCTTTTCCAAGATGTGATTATGGGAAGGTTTTCCTTTCTTTCTTTACAATCATTAGGATAACCTGGTATTCTGAAAAACTGAAATAATGCATAGAATTAAGGGTTACATGTTTACATTGCCTGATTGTCTTTGGCTTTATTTACCATATATATTACAATATGAACACATTTCAGTGAATCTTGTGATTTGAAAGGCTGATATGGCAGTCATTATGAAAACAGTTACTCTATATGAAGTTTATTTTAAGACTAGCACCATGTACCACATTCACAATCAATAAGAAAGAAATAGTTCTGAGTGTCTGTTTATTTGAATTTTCCTTGAATCCTAGAAATATGATTGTAGAAAATAGATTGTTAGTCATCATTCTTTTGTCAGCATCAGCAACCAAATATGAGGACATGTAGAAGAATGTTATCACAAAATTTCAATGAACACTCGAGTACTTATTGGGAATTACAGTATGTGTTTTGAACAAATCATGTACTATTTCTCTTCTCTGGCTCAGCCTAACATGTGACATGTACATTGCCCAATGAGGGTGAGTTTCTGTATCTTTGGTAATGTGTTTTTGTAGGATGACTAATGCACATAGTCAATAAATTTAGTAATATGAAAGAAAAGCCTGGTAAATATGATTATGGACATCATGTATGACATACAGTTGAACATGATGTAATAGGTTTGCTTTTAATGCATTTCAGGTAAAATGTTCAAGACAAAGAAGTATTGGTGTGATTTCAAAGGAGAATTACGACTGCCTTAGATTAAAACTTGAAGGAGGTGACATTCCCAAGGATAGCAAGACTGTCAAGTTTTACCATGTCTGCCAGAAAATACGGAAGTTCAATTTATCTTTGACAGAAATTCACAACCCTGTCCAAGGAGAATATAGATTGGAGATTATTGATGGGGACAGGAAAATAGTGATATCAAAGTCAGAACTTGATAATGTCATCTGCAAATTTTACACTGAGTTGCGGGGTTCTGGAGCAAAGAAAATAAGAACATTGATAAACCAGTATCATGCTGGCATTTCTCAGGAAGCCATACAAGACTTTATAGACAGGCAAGATGACAGGCAACTGTTACATCCTAAATTTGTTAATGCTGCCAAACTAAAACCGGTGATTTCAAGAACACCAATGGGGCGACATCATGTTGACCTTGTGGAACTAACTGGAATGCCTGCAGAAAATGATGGTGAAACATTCATTTACATCTTGTCTGTTATTGATGTTTTCACAAGATTCATGTGGCTTCGGCCTCTTTCCAACAAAAGAGCCTGTTCAGTGGCATTGGAACTCCACAAAATCTACTTTGAGTATGGATGGGGAAATCCAAGAATCTTACAGTGCGATCAAGGCTCCGAGTTTAAGGGAGCAGTCAACCAACTCTGCATTGAAATGGGAACGAAGATTGTCCGAAGTCGGGCTCACAATCCCCAATCTCAGGGAAAGGTGGGTGACAAATTTCAATCAAAACATGCGCACTCTAAACGTTGAGGTAATAGATGTAGATACTTAATAGTAAGAACTTTAATGTTGATGTTATTTGGAACATGTCATCTTTAGGGCAGAGCCACACTTGCATGTGTGTGACAGATGACACCGGTGGGGCAGGATACACTAACCTTCGTGAACACCTGCTACTATCACTATTTTATGTTGATTCATAACACATGCTTATGATATTGATGGAATCATTAAGTGGACCCAGCTTTTAGAAGAGGCTTCTTATGATTATGGAAACTGTTTTTGTTATATATTTCATATATTTCATATACATGGTATAACACTTGTGCACACTTTTTGTGCCTGCCTAATCTGTTTACTATTTAGATATTAATTTATTTCAGAGTAAACAATCACACCGGGATTGGAAAAGCCATTTGGAATTTTATCACAGCAAACATGGTGATGGAGAAAGCTTCAACTTGGTGGAAAAGTTGCCAGCATATGCTAGAATACACAATGAAAGCATTCATTCTGCACTTGGTAAAGTTTGAATATATAGCTTTAATTTAATGTGGGCATATGTTACAAAGTGTGAAGCACATAATGTAAGCATATACTTTTCAGACTGTAAGCATGGTAAATGTGGATGTGTGACATTGAATTTATTTTACGCACTGACCAACAAATAACCATTATGACACAGTTAAATGATGATGGCTCATTACAGAAGGTACAACAGTTTCATAGTTGACCAGGTATTGACCAAAATATAGTTGCATGCACCCTTCAGGCTACTGCAAATTTATAGAACTCTGGAAATATCAATATTGCCACAGTGCAGTTGTGACATTTATTGTTGAAGAAGACATGAGAAACACAGGCTTGTATTTAAACATAATTCCTATGTTAACAGGTTGTTCACCATACAAGGCCATGCTGGGCTGCCCTCCAGTACACTTCAAGAATGTGTTGAGAGCTGGGAGTACAGATGATGCATACTCTTGCTCTGAAGAAGATGAGCAGTGCGAACTATCTGCAGAGAGTCATGAGGTATGGAGGATTTATGTCATTACGCATAACAAGAGACAAACTCATCTATATACCCCGCCCATTGTCTAGTTTTAAATACAATGCTATGTGCAATCAAATGTGACATTGTAAATTATCAGTTTGTCTCACCTCCTTGTAGAAGAGGTTGAATACAAGAGCTAATATAACATCTCCATAAACTTTGTACATCTGCTTTAGTAAAACTTTAATGATAAACAAAGGTTATAATCATCTTCAAGTTTGTGTAAGCTAAGAATATTTAGATATCATGCATGGTATTATAGAGCATTGTTTTCAGGCAGGTATTGTTGCAGCCCTTTATAGGTACATGTAGTTACCAGAGTAAGGTACACGGTACAGATAAGGTACAAAAGTTGTAAGCATGCTGACACCTCAAAACCTGGTGAATTTCTAATACATCTACAATTAATGCTTTTATGGATTTTGTTGCAGTGTCTACTGGTGTGTCATTTAATTAGAATAAGAAAATAAATCATATTTTGAAGTTTTTTAAAGAAAAAAGACTCTATAATAGCCATAGACTGATATTGTACAAAGTTTCATGAAGATATCTTGAACAGTTTTCGGGTTCTGCTCTGGTAAACCCCACTGCTTCCATTCAGTTCAGAGACTAAGTCAAAATTTCAAAACTTTATACAAAATAAAAAGACAAATTTGTAGGTGCAGGGGATAATAACTGTCATCGGGTCCTGTAAACCTGTGCAATAATGACAGGAGATGTGACAAGTAGAGACATGTACATAGAACTATTTCAACTGCAAGATATTAGAAGTAATGATATGTTTAGATTCTAAACTTTAGAATATGAGGTAAAACTACATGTGAAGTGGAAGTGATATTATTTGACGTTTATGTTAGATATGTGGACATTAAAACATGGTAAATGTAATACTTTATTATTCTTTAGGATACTGGAGACGAATATGGCTTTAATGAGAGAATAGAAGCAATCACAGGAAACCTCAGGAAAAATGTGCTGCAGGCGTCACTGACCAAATCATCAGAAATGATTCAAAAACACCACGAAAACAAGGACACATCAGTGTACAAGATAGGGGATGAAGTTCTGGTGAGGGTTCATGGAAAAGATACCAGAGTCAACCAGGTGGGCCCAAAAAAGGGATGAAAAAATGCAAGGAAGGAACTATTGTTGAAATAGATTCCCAGATTGTTTTTATCATTTCCTCTACCCAAAGTAAGTGCAGTTGGAGACACAGAAACGAGATCAGTGTGTCCATCTGTCACATTTTGTATCAAGAGCATTCAATATTTCCTCATGGACCCTCACAATTGGTGCCTTTTCCCATGCTGGAATGTTTATAATATTTCATTTGCATTTTCATGGCAAACAGTTGGTTCAAATGAGGGTGGGGTTTGTTTCCAGAGCACAATTCATAAACCATTGCGTATTTCTTCATGAAACTTTATATACACATCAGGCAGGTTCTGTTATTCTGCTATTCAGTTTCTTTGGTAGACTTTTATATTTTGCATTTCTAAGAAAATACCAAGTTGGACAGCTAAGCAGAACAGTTATCAAAGATGATACAACTCATGTTGCTACTGCAGGTTGAAAAAGGTCTCCAGCAATACATGCTTGAGGTGACTAATTTGACCAGGTGATCGGGTAACTTGGTTTATTCTATGACATGGTACCCAGACAGTGTGGATGTTGCTAATACTGCAGTGTTAATTAAAAGAGAAGGAACAGCATCATACTTAAATTCAGGAACATACATTAATTAATGTTTTTGCTGTTGTGGAATTATGGTTCAGAATTTTGAAAGTATTATATGGATCATAGCAAATGTAATTACATGCAATTACTAATTCACGACTTTGCAAGGTATTGAAATAATTTGGTGTAGTCATTAATTGTTATGTCATTTGTACTAAAATCTTAGGATTAATGTGGTATATGATACTTCCTGTGATATAATACATTACTTACAAGGGACATTCATTGGTTTGTCTTCTTGGAACGAAAGCTAACATTGACACAGGAGGTTAGGTGGTATACAAAACACAACTGATCAAGGGTCTGGAATCAAACTGCAGTCAATGGTTGAAGCATTTGTTGATTTTCAGTTCAGTTCAGTTCCTTAACCAGTTAAATTGGTTGCTCTGTGATATGTTGGTATGTGCAGAAGAAGGCATAAATGTGATAATTTTCATATATTTTTCTAACAGATGCTCTGCCAGATGCAAGAGAAGAGGGTAGAAAGCCACTCAAAAGGGGAAAAACACAGGATGAAAAAGGTATTACAATTTGAGACACCTCATAGGAATCTTCTGGAACGGTTAGTCCCCAAAACATTAGGCATATGCATGAATACTTGCATGCATGCATGCACAATAAGAAGGGTAATCAATACTTGTACAAATTGTCCACCTTTCAGAGTACATTTACACATATTGAACACTTCAACGGAATAAATGTTTTCAAAATAAAATGAATGTAAAGCATTATTTTATCCTGAAGGTATATGCTTGCATTTGGTGATGTATGTTTATACTTTTAAGGAAAGGGAGAACAACAGGCTCAAACCAAGAGGAGAGACAATGCAGAAACAAAAGGTAATATCTGAATACAGATGGGTACGATCAGCAAGACTGATAAATCCTAGATGCATAATTATATCTGTTGGAAGGAGTACACAAATTCTCCATATGATGTTGTGTCAGTTGCTCATATGTCTTCCTGTATATCATGCACATCTGAAATGGTTCATTGTCTCAGCTGAAAAATACTACATCAGTACATGTATTGCAGAACATTACAGTTGTTTCCATAAAAACAATATACTAAGAGATATATTACAGGACAATTTGTGTGACTTATATAATGTGTCTATGCAGGACGCAAGAAGACGCCAACTATGAAAGAACTGGAGATGGAGGCCTCATTCTATGACCTTGACATTGTGGACAATGAAGGGGCTGGTAACTGCATGTTTATTGCATTGGCTCAACAGCTTCAGATACATGACATTGACATAATCAGCCATAAACATCTGCGAGAAAAGGTTGTGCAATATGTGCAGGTAAGTAAACAATAATGCATACTTTCAGTTTTCTTAGGGTAGGAATTTGATATAGTGAATAAAATGTGAAAGCCTAATTGGGCTGAAGCCATGTCCTATTTGTTTGGAATCATGTTATTCTTAGAAATCAGTGGACCAGCTGAAAATTTGGCATGCAAGTTTGTTCAGATTATTACACCTCAATGGATTTAAAAAGTTTATATTTGTTATCATTATGAACATTGATATGCAGTAAGAATGTTTTTTACAATAACGGCAGTACATTTGATTTGGTGAATTTCAATTTTTATCCAGTAATGAATTCCACGTATCTTTTTTTGTGTTACTGAAATTTTGGCTTACAGGACGAAACCTCAAAGCTTATGAAGCAAAGTTTTGCCTGAATAGCATTAGTTATTATTGTCTCTGAAAAGTACTCACATATTTTGGATCTTATGTTAAATATGTCAATGACAATTTGCTCTCAACCTTTCCATCAAATATATTTTCATTAATTCTTCTTACGTTATGTGAGCTAGAGAGTCATGGGGCTCTATTGGTGATGCCCTTGACATTGATTAAACTTCTTTATTTAAAACAAGATAAACGAATGGTTGTCCCAATGAAGGAAACATCCCTCAGGTCAGCCTGTTTAGTAGGGTATATTACTTTCAAATGTTTTGGAAATATTATGAGACACCTCTTAATATTGAGAATTTAAGTTTCAAAATTGCATGACAGTTGTCAGATAAGGTGTGTAAAATAAGCTGAATATTCACTTTTATCTGCCACATATGTACATGTACAGTTCTAATAGGTTTCATACTTCCGCAGCACATTTATATTACATTATAAAATTTGTTTTACTTTTGACCTCATAAAGAGTTATCAGGACCTTAAAAGGCATTTAAAAAATGTGATGGCTGAAATTTTGTACAGAAAGGCTGTATACACATTTCTAAATGAGCAAGTCTAAAATTATTATGCAAAGTGGCTCTTTTAGGTTACAGTATAAACCACTGACTTTATATTCAGTTGGGCTGTATGAATAATTTCTGATACTTTATGTTTACCCCAATAAATAGGTTCAAGTAAATTAAATGAAAGGCATATAGATTGGGATGAGGTGAAATGGGACTAAACTTTGCATTTAAGGTAAATGCACTTATACAGCAAGCCAGTGAAAACTGTTTTTTCATTAGCTCATCTTGAATTTTCACTTTTTCCAATTTTGGGCAAACATAAAAACACTTAACCAAATTCATGGAACCTGATGAATTGCACAATTTCAATTCATTATCTATGCATGTTGCATTTAACATAAAGATGCAAGTACCAGTCCTTCCCCATGGGGGTCATGCAAAATGGTATCTTCTGACAATGTGAGGTTTGTCACTTGTAGAGATTTTGTACCATTTTAGCTTTGAACTTAGATGACTATACAACACAACATTGAGTCATGTTTTTTGTTGTTTTTTGTTTTTTCATTTTATATGTATTACATGTAGTATAAGAAGAAAGAAGAACAGTAACATTTCTCAGTCTCACACTAACTGAACATGTTTTAGGGCAAGCGGTGTCTGTTCAAGGACTTCGTGGATAAAAACCATTATCCAACATTCAGAGACTATATCATCAAGATGAAGATGTTGGGGGAATGGGGAGACAACATCATTCTGCAGGCAACAGCTGACCTCTATAAGGTGACCATCAGGATCATTACAACAATTGCAAATAAGCCTACATTCATTCGTCCAGCTGAATACCGAGGAGACATGCCAGTACTAAGCATAGGCCACTTGTGGGAGCTGCATTATGTGACACTCATACCAATGTCCACAGAAGGAGGTTTGTCCTTTATTGATGGTACAGTTAAAATAATTATGGCAGGTCACCATGTCAAAGCATTCAGAACTTGTGTAGGTTTTTGCAATATATACCTATAACATTACATATTACTCAAAACAGTTGACTCTGTCTTCACGCTGAAACAAAGCCCAATAATGCCTAGCATTGTGCAAGTGCCAGCATGTGCATGTTCTTTAAGTTAAGAACTAAATTACACTTGGATCGTCACATTGAGACCGTGGCATGTATCTATTATCAGATATAAATTTATGACATCTCTGACCACAGAGACATCAGTATATTACTATATTGGTACTGAACATTTCATATATTCACAGACTCATTGGAAATTAAGGATAGAGAGCTAATATAAGTATACTTCTGACATTAACCATTTCATACTTATCATACACAGAAAAAACATTCTTGTGTTCATTCATATGCTTGTTACTTGTACAAGGATTACGCATACTGGTTCCACATCTCACATACAATCATGTTTCATTTTAAGAGAAAGAGACAGAAGCAGCTAATGACACCAAAATGGACACAGAAGATGAATCAGATTCAGATTCCAAGTATGCAATCAACACTGCTGTATGGGAACACAAGGTATGTCCACACCCAGTGCAACACCTGCAACAAGACATTTCCTTATTATTGTGTCAGTTGCTTAATGATAGATCCATTAATGTTTTCAGTATGAAATATTAACCAAAGATGATTTCGGATGTACTTTTGTTTTAATAAAAAAAATTCTAAAAATTATATCTGAGTAAACAGTACTCTTGTATTACCTTCATAAATGTTTTTGCCATGGTGCCTTCATATTTCACAATACATTATTTGAAAGTTTAGCTTAACAATGTAAGAGGCACATGTCAGTTGCTGCCATTAGATACCTGATAAGAAGGTATTATTCACTCTCAGTAAGATGTTTTCTTAAACTTGTGTTAATGATGTTTCTCTTTACTAAAATTTATACAGAAAGAAAATGTAGTGGCACACCTGCAGAGAATTGCTGCAAGAGATGTTTTGTTGGCAGATAACTTAGAATGACTTTCAATCCAGATATAGTAATAACTGGGGTTTTATTCCAGTTGCTTTCTCATAGTGTTTGATTTACTCCTAACCTGTGTTTGTGGGTTTTACCAAAACGAAACAAGCTAAAACAATGAATTATTGAAGTACCATTAAAACACGAAGCACTAATTGAAGTCCTGAATGGATACTGTGTTAGAACTAGTCCCTAGCAACCTATGCTTGTCACACTAGGAGACTTAATGGATACTGTGTTAGAACTAGTCCCTAGCAACCTATGCTTGTCACACCAGGAGACTTAATGGATACTGTGTTAGAACTAGTCCCTAGCAACCTATGCTTGTCACACCAGGAGACTTAATGGATACTGTGTTAGAACTAGTCCCTAGCAACCTATGCTTGTCACACCAGGAGACTTAATGGATACTGTGTTAGAACTAGTCCCTAGCAACCTATGCTTGTCACACCAGGAGACTTAATGGATACTGTGTTAGAACTAGTCCCTAGCAACCTATGCTTGTCACACCAGGAGACTTAATGGATACTGTGTTAGAACTAGTCCCTAGCAACCTATGCTTGTCACACCAGGAGACTTAATGGATCCTGTGTTAGAACTAGTCCCTAGCAACCTATGCTTGTCACACCAGGAGACTTAATGGATACTGTGTTAGAACTAGTCCCAAGCAACCTATGCTTGTCACACCAGGAGACTTAATGGATACTGTGTTAGAACTAGTCCCTAGCAACCTATGCTTGTCACACCAGGAGACTTAATGGATACTGTGTTAGAACTAGTCCCTAGCAACCTATGCTTGTCACACCAGGAGACTTAATGGATACTGTGTTAGAACTAGTCCCAAGCAACCTATGCTTGTCACACCAGGAGACTTAATGGATACTGTGTTAGAACTAGTCCCTAGCAACCTATGCTTGTCACACCAGGAGACTTAATGGATACTGTGTTAGAACTAGTCCCTAGCAACCTATGCTTGTCACACCAGGAGACTTAATGGATACTGTGTTAGAACTAGTCCCTAGCAACCTATGCTTGTCACACCAGGAGACTTAATGGATACTGTGTTAGAACTAGTCCCTAGCAACCTATGCTTGTCACACCAGGAGACTTAATGGATACTGTGTTAGAACTAGTCCCTAGCAACCTATGCTTGTCACACCAGGAGACTTAATGGATACTGTGTTAGAACTAGTCCCAAGCAACCTATGCTTGTCACACCAGGAGACTTAATGGATACTGTGTTAGAACTAGTCCCTAGCAACCTATGCTTGTCACACCAGGAGACTTAATGGATACTGTGTTAGAACTAGTCCCAAGCAACCTATGCTTGTCACACCAGGAGACTTAATGGATACTGTGTTAGAACTAGTCCCTAGCAACCTATGCTTGTCACACCAGGAGACTCAATGGATACTGTGTTAGAACTAGTCCCAAGCAACCTATGCTTGTCACACCAGAGACTCAATGGATCAGGTGGTAAATCTCTGTGACCCTGGATGAATTTATGACATCATACATTATGACTGTGAGAACTTTGCTCATAATATCAAAACACTATTTGGTCTTGTTGAGACACAATATAGTATTGATATTGCTGAGTGGGGCACTGAACAACAAACACTCATTTTAGATATGTTTTTCAGTGAGGAACAACTTCAAAGGCATGATGAGTTTGTCAGCGGCTTCCCAACACCAGACCGAAGAGTCAATTTTGCAGAGGGATATCTGTCTCAATATGTATGTACCTTCTCAAATGTGACAGTTGCCTCATATATTATTTTTAACAAACATCCTTCCAATCATTGCTCATGAAAACGTTACATGAAAATTTGTGAGCTATTTCAATGCAAGACCATGTTTTAAGGATTGTGTACATGATAACTTACAGCCCTGTCATTTGGGACTCCTTGAAGGATCTGGTGGAATAGGAGAGCTAATGTTGTCTTCGGGGATATTCTCATGTATATATATTCTGGCAGCTTATTGATTCCTTCAATCGATACCACCTCAATTTCAAAGGAATATCAGTCAAGCTGTCCATTCTTTTGATATATAAAAATGGGTTCAATCTGTCATTGTATTCTGTTGAGAACAGTGCACAGATTATTGAACAAATACCCACCTGAAGGTTTTTGGTTACACCTACTGAGAAAGCATTACTACTTCCATCACCAAAACGAGACTTGGTAAACTACAATAACATGAAATTTCATGTAGGTAAGAAGATACTATGACAATGCATTGAGATAACCTGTCAGATAGTTTTAAGAGTGAATAATTCATTATAGGTACTTTAGTACATTCAGGTTTGGAAACTGTGGCATAATAAGAATTGTTTTCCTATGAATAACACTGTAGACATAGAAGGAAGTAATCAACCAGTGTGAGAGCATGGAAGTCATACTGCATACTGCATTAAGTATATGTTTTGTCTGACTTCTAGTAACGTCTGTACCATTTTTATTTAGATAATTTAGTTCATGCAATTACTAGGTTAATTGGAATTGGACCTTCTTGTTGGATCTGTTCCTGTAGTAGCCATGTGCTCAGGACCCTGCCCATCTGTTTCTTTATGCATAGGAATCAGAACTTCTGCTCAGATTGGCAAAATAAAAAACACAGGAATTCAGTCAAGAATTTTGACTTTACATTCCTGTATATCAATGATCTGAAATTGTTCAATAATGTAAGTAACCATTCCCTTCCACTGAACTGGAAATAAAAGAGACTAGTACATCTGTTTTATATTTTGGTCTATGCATAAGGATTCAGAGTGACAGTAAAGTATACACAAGGCTAGAACAAATAGGGTGACGTCAACTTTCTAGTACTCAACTATGCTTTTATGTCTGACAATTTTCAAACAGCTACAGCCTTTTAAGGTACAATTGAGCGTGCTCTTTCTACAAAGTTTTTCAAAGAGTTCCATACAACTCTTGCTTCAAACTTGTTTGATCAAGGCTACAATATTCAAGGCCTCAGCAAGCTTTCAAAACATGTCATGGTTGACATGTGGAAGCCATTTCCAACTTTAATGCATTAATGACCAAAATGATGTCCCATGCAATTCCTTTTTTTGAGTTGTACCATGTTCCCGTATTTATTTAGGTGTCACGAGTCTTGCCTTTGCATGTGTTTGTGATTGGTGTCATAAGTGGGAAACGACACCCTCACCTTTCTTTGAACACCCTGTATTGACAGTTGTTCATAAATACATGCTTGTGATATGGTGAAACTCGTAAAAAAGACTTCCCTTTAAGCAGAAATTTCACATGATAATAGAAAGGGCTTTGTTGATTTTTGTTTTTTATGTTTATGAAAATGTTTTTTTCCACTTTTATACCCACACACAGTATTTTTATCTGAAAGTGCATGGTGGTAAGTCATGAGGAAATTGTGGTGCCCCTGTTGTCACAAGTACAATTTAAACATGTTCCAAATTAACTTGTGCTTTTACCTCAAACGAAATGTTATTAGTGTTGCTATATCTGCTTATATTTGCTTAACTACTTACTTCATTACATAACAAGACGTGTATTCCCTATATATTTTGCATACTTTTATTATTGTTTCAGATGCAGCAAAAAATGCTTCAGTACTTGATATCAGCTTTGACATTAACAAGACTGAAAGATACACGGTATTAAATATTAATATTTTGTGACACTTTGTGAAACAGGTTGTTTCAAATAATTCCTGATAACATACATTATATTTAAGTTTTGAGGTTATACCAGAGGAATGAGACAGATACCATGATTGGCTTAATGTTACATTTATTTGCATTTACTAAAAATGTATTGTAGGATTGGCTTTCGTTTTCATTCATGGAATGTCATGTAATTCCTGATGAAGTACTCTACACGTGACACATATTGCCATCAAATAAGCAACAATGCAGGCAGTTAACTGCCAAACACACTGACATATAGACACTCCCACTTGACATGTAATAAACCAAGTCATCGAACCTGACCATCAGATAAATTAGGTTAGCATATGTTGGTATGGACCTATGTTCTGTCCCATGGGGTACTTACCCAACAGTTGACTATGATGAAATGATGGATTTCTTTGTTGATACAGGAGGATATACTCGGGGTGTATGCGACTGTTCAAGTGCAAGGGTGAAAAGAAGCTGGAACTTTTAACGCAAAAGCACATGATGTAAGAATACCTTTATGTTGAAAAAACACATGATTTACGCCACCGTGGTCTAGTGGATAGAGCATCCACCTGGAGAGAGGAGGGTCGTGGGTTCGACCCTCAGCCACGTCATACCAAAAGACGATAAAAGGTTGTACTTGTTCCTACCCTGTCTGGTGCTCGACAATAAGGGGCTAAAACAAGTACTATTTGGGTCGGAGTCGGCAAACTGTATTTAAGGTTAAACAATTTGCGTTAGCAATCTTTTAACGTCTTTTGGTTAAAATAACAAAAGTCAGTATGAGATGGTCAGATATCTTTGCCTGTCATTGTACCCGGTTAATGTCATGGACTGGTTATCTGTCATCTGAGTAAGTAAGTACTGGTTAAGCTTTCACTCATCAAGCTGAAGACCCGGATTCGATTCCCCACATGGGTACAATGTGCGAAGCCCCTTTCTGATGTCTCTCTTCTCCTTAGAAACCACATAAACAATGACACTGAAACATCACATACTTGTTCCAATGATGTCACATGTGTTAACCAAATATTTCAGTAAGGCTGCAATTTCTGGATATATTCATTGCGTTTTCTTTAAATAGTTCTATGACAATGAATGAATGACAATGCTTACAACAAATCCTGTTAGATGACTGGCTTTGTTGATATTTCAAACTGTTGCGTACATGTGTTGATGTCTTTGTGAGCTACGGTGCTTAGTCAATTGTTTTTACATAAACATATGTTTTTTCACACTTCAGAGCTGCCACAGATTACCTGATGTATGTTGGGGTAAAGGAAGCTATAATTCATATTCTGATGGATGTGCTGAATAAACCCTATGAAGAAGTCAACTAGGAATGTAAATCAACAGAATTTGATGCCAGTCAAGTTCCAGGGAGGGGTGTCCACATCACTGTGGATGAAGAATAATGATGGCTTGGTTCACACAGGGAGGATTAAAATGCCTCTGTTATACAGGATGACTGACTTGCTGGATGAGTTGTGATGATTGTGCTTGCACACTGATGTCAACACCCACATATATTATCTTTACAAGAAAAGTAATTTGATGTACATGAACCACAGTGACATGTCATTTTGTAACATTAGTATTTCTTTGTATGACAATGTGTGAATTTATTAGGGCTGCAACGGGTAACTCGGGTACCTGGGTCGGGTGGGTACTGAGTAGGACCCGGGTACCCACAGGACTGCCTGGACCCATGGTTAGTCATGTGATATATTGTTTAATGACAAAAATTATCTCGAACTCTATGCTTACACTAAAAGTCACTCATGTTCGCATTTCTTTCTGACTATGCACCCATTCCTTCTGACTTAGGCTCTTCTTTTGGCCACTGAAAGTAAATCCCATTTCTAACTTGAGAGCAGAATATGAATGCTATGGGTCAATATTTCTAATTTTAAGAGATTTCTGACTATATTATTACTCATGTCCCCTCGACCAGAAATGGGATAACGCCTATAAACTTGACATATAATGGAATCTTAAGATTTTGTTTTGACTACTGATAGTAAATCCCATTTCTAACTTGTGAGCAGAATTAGTTAGTCACATGATATATTGTTTAATAACAAAATTTATCTAGAACTCTATGGTTACACTATATGTCACTAATGTTCGAATTTCTTTTCATATGGTTGAATAAAGATATATAACTTAAGTCACCTTCAGTGTATGCATGACCAGATTGTTTAATTCATGTATCTAAATACGTTTTGCATGTACTGTGGTAAAAAAAATCACAATCGGACATTTTGTATCTCTTGAGACCTTACAGGTCAGATAATAGTGGGGTGGGGCCCCGGGTAGTAAATTTGGACTCGTCCCAGCTCTAGAATTTATGTACAATCATTTGAGAGAGATGGTTTGATATTTGTGTATATTGGATGTTGCCATGTCATGACCATTGGAATAATAAAGTGATGCCACATTTCTACTCTGTCTGAGTTCTGCTCATGACAGTAGATCATGAAGACTGCACCAACTCTATGCATGTCTGCCAAGGGAAGTGTGGGAAACTGTGGCTTTCTGCCACAACTCAGAAAGTTGTTGATGTGTAATTGTTATATATGCACAGAATGTCTGATGTGTGACATTATGCTGTACATTTTCATATTGTTATGTGTCAGTTTAATAATAATGTAATAATAATGTCTCACATTTTTACATATTTTGTTTCTTTGGACCATTTTCTGAAACGATTACTTACTGGTAAATAACATGGACACTTAATACGAACATGGAAGGTAATACAAGTGGTTGTATGAAAGTAACTATTAAACCACTACACAAAGATTAATTATTTGGGGGATTATTCTTCACAGGAGTTTTTCAAAATGTTCCTGGGGAGTTGTTTTAGTAAAATGTCCATGACACAAGACAAACACATTTGTGGTTACGCTTTGCAAGTAGGGGGTATTCATGCATTTATCAAAATTGTATATGCCTTCTTTATTATGTGTACTTGCTTTGTTTAGGCTTTGGTTAAAATTATTAAAGGTTAAGGTCTGTGTTCTGATATTTGCAAAACACATTTTAATTATTGTATGAGGCATGGTTTTCTCTGTAGACATGAAACTGTATATGTACATCCTTACAAATTCTGCCACATTAAATGTTAGTGCTATATATGTCAATGTTCAAGGTGACATTTGAGGTTATTGGGACACATGGTTGTATTAACTGTATTACTTGTGTAATGCAGAGACTGGGTTATATTTGGACGAAGAAATTGTGATGGTTTGGACTTGAAATACATCGTAGTTTTTTTAAGACATTTTGAGTAAATGGAAATGTTTCTGATTTTGCAAGTATTTTTAAACATTTGCTAGTTACATTGGTTTGCATTCTAGAAACATTTAATTCCCATGAAAATGACGTGTATAATGGTCTTTGTCATATTTATGTAACCTCCAGGTTTATGTTCATTTAATGTTAAGGAGCCAATGGCTATCATTATTCATCTGGCATTTCTTGTGTGTTAGATTATTTTGCTGACTTATTTCAACAGCCATAAAAATATATTTGTGTCTACCAAATTAAGCGCTTGAATACCACATATGATTATATTTAACATAATAATCATTTAGTCTACCTTGTTGCAATACGGTTTAGAACAGGACCCCAGCAATCTATTCTTGTGATAACAGGCGACTAAATAGATCTGGTTGTCAGATTTGGTGACTTTATTGATTGTGTGTCATCGTACCCCGATGGTGTGGATCGTTGCTCATAATAGGAATGACTGCTTTGTCTGGTCTGAATTTGCATACAGGTGGCTGGAACATGGCTGAATAAAGCATTAAACAAGAGTGAAAAAAGTATCAAAAATATATGATCATGTAGTTTGCATATGTTGTTGTTAGCTAACAATTTCTTATATGTTTGTTTGTTTGTTTCTTATGTGCCTCAGATTTGTCATCAATAATATACATAGGTTGTTTTGTATTTTTGTAATAAATCATCTTCAATGAACTTCATTTCTTTTGTCATGTGAAGTGAATACACCAACAACTAACCCCAGGAGGTGATGGACGTCTACAATCTGACTTCTCGGACAATGTCAACCTTGACAAATGTACCTTGAACAGCTTATCTATGTTCAGCTACATACACTTCTTTCTTGTATTAAGTTATCATTGCATGAATGTCCAATCGTGTGTCACAAACTAAAAGCCAATGTGAAGCTTACACCATCTCTAATTACACAAACATTATTTAGTTCCTACATAGGAGTATCCTCTTCTTTCTTCAGATTTGAACACACAATTTAACAGCAGACAAAATGCATGTATAATTTGATGTAAAGAGGTGGTGTTCTATTCATGGTAATACATGTGCTTCACATCCTATGTATAGATGTGAGTGTAAAACTAATAATATACACAGATGTAGGGCACAGGTCCTGCTGACTGGTATGTGACTTCACCCCACCCACATGCAAATGTGTACACTTGGTGCCCTCTACAGTGATGTGACTGGCATTATGCTTATAGCAGCATTAAAACAAACTACCTCACTGCTGCCACACTTTACTTTGTTTATGTTTTCACGGGATGTCCCAAACACTTACATATACTAATGATGTCTTATAAACCAACTGAGACATTTGTACTGTTTAATTTGCCTAACCTGTGCAATGGGTAGCCTGTTACATTTGCACAAGTCTTGAAGGCAAAACGTATTAGTTTTAAATAATAATTTCTAGATTATGTAAAGAGTAAGAACATTTTGACGTTGGATTCATCTAGACTTGCCCACAATGAGTATAGAATTACAAGGAGCCATATACTAGTAGCCTGTATACAATACTTCTAATGCATACCAAAAATGCAAAACTAAATTCCAGTTTATTGATCAAAAAAAATTATACTTTATCTGACCCTAACATGAACACCAATATAAACACCAGTTCCAACTGGTAAGACCTGCAAACAAAACAAAAACGAATTCAATATAATTTTTATGAATATACAATACTGATATTGATCAATCATCTTGTGTGTGTGTGTGTGTGGGGGGGGGACACATCACTTTCTCGTCCTCTTTCAAACTATCTGATGGGGAATGAAAACCACTGACATTTAACCATATTTAATGTAATGAATATGAACACTACCAGCCTGGATTAGAATTTTGAATTTAATGTTATACTGGATATTTAGAAAGTTATCGTGTCCATATTTAGCCCATCCAAATACACCACAACTGAAAACGCTGAAGGAAACAGGGAGTGCACGAGAAGTAGTTGGTATGGAACTTGATATATACGTTGCTATACGGGAGTTATGACACACTGCTAACGAGAAGGAATATTTCCTATTTTAATGCCCAATTCCCAGTGTTTATTTTCCATGAGACAATGGCAAAGTGGAAGGTGATACTGGGAATAAAATTCCTTAAAATTCCACACTTGCTTACAAAATACACGAACGTTTTACAAACATTTTGATTTATTTCCTCTTAGTTTTGCATAAAATAAGGATAGTTTACAGATTGATAAAGAAGGAAAGTTTCTTCAGGTTCTGCTGTACCGCAAACAATGCAGTCTCACTGCACGCTGTGTGCTGTCACAACACGGCAGAAGTTCGATGCACTTCCGGGTTCAATTGAGAAGCAGTGCGTACGAAATAAGTGTCTTGTGCATACACAAGCCACGCCCACCCATGAATATTGTAGACTTAAGACCATTGTAGGTTTAAGGGCACAACATACGTGGACACGTCTCGTACGTTTGGATGAGATCAAGCGATATCTACACTGTAGATATCGCTGCAATGAAAATTACATCACAATGCTTTGCAGACCATTGTGACGTCACTGGTTACCATGACGTCACAATCAAATGACATCACTAATGGCTCTGCTACTGAAGCTGTTAGCAGCACTTTTTACGCTTAATCCACACTTTGGTGCCACGGGACCATATATGGTCCCTCACTTTTCACACCCTTAAAATGTCCCTTTTCAACTGTGAATTAAAATTATTACCATCATCACCCTTATCATCCCGGCTTCAACATCGTCTAACCCATATTTTATACAATGCTACGGATTGCGAAATATGGTGAGATTAGCGAAGTGGTTACCACTCTTCGCGACCTTTTTCTGACATGTTGAATTTTATGCGAATGACGGCGAATTATTATGCACCAATGCCACACACACGTAACTATTATAATATCACACAGCCAATTTGAAAAAGAAATTGATCAGACGGGTCAGACATATTGCTTTTAAGTCCGCAACGGAAGTGTTTTGTTCAAGTATTGCATATTTATATTGACCGTTTCAACGATTTTGATTGCATCTATACGTGCACTTACTCTTGGGTGGTAGTACGTTAGTATAATCTCCTTAATTATTAAGAAATAATAATGATGTCCAATATTGAGCGATGTCAATTTGAGTATTGTTAAGGCTGTTTAGCGATGTTGCACATTTTGTCCCATGTCAATTACCCCGAAGTTGTTTTTATCACTAATGAAAGAGCACGGACACTGAAACCTACATAGATGTAATCGGGATTTCTTCAAGACATACATTCAAAACCGTCATTCATTTTGTCTTTGAAACAGTCTGCGTTCGAACCAATCACGACCACTTCCGTCAATTTTGTTTTGACGTCAAATAACACTGGCAATTTCAACGGGTTTTTTTGTCGGCAAATAAAAATCACGGAAAATTCTCAATGAATGCGTACTTCGACAAAAATGCCATATGTCTATCACCGTTACTTTCCAATGGTATGAATTATTGGGACATTTAGATTTCAATTAAGAGCGCTCACTTGGCTTTACTTTCCACAGTCGTGTGCTTCCATATTGATTACGTAGAAAAATAGGAAACTTAGATCAGTATTTTTTTATTGGAATGCAAACCCCTCTAGCCAATTCGCGGAGTTCTCTCTGCTGTCGCTGTCACCAGTCAAAGCTCCCCACTGTGATAGGTGGCCAGAACCATG